TTTCTCCCTACCACCACAAATCATTTGTTGTGTCATAGCAGCGTTTTTATGCTAAGAACATACTGAGGCCGATATTTTTTCAGTGTGTTGTCGAACCACTGCACCATGTTTTTTATGACATAACTTGTGATTAATGAAAGAAGAGATTTAATTAATCGATGAAATTCGCCATTTTGTTAACGAATGAAATCAGCTGATTGCTTATGCATTATTAAAAAATGGAATTTATATGTACCTGCTACATTCGTAGTACCTATACCTTTTATGTAAGAATGACTCTTTTGAAGGTTCCTTTTCCATCCTTTTAAAGCTTCTTTTAAAATCCTAGCAGTCTTTTTATGATGATCGGGTATCATCAGTCATGGTTATTGATTTCACTATTCCTTCTTCCTTGGTGTCTTTCTGTGAGCGATCGTTTCCATTTTTTTATTAGTTTATAAAATCTAACTATTTGTCACTTGATTTTTTTTTGCCACCTGGTTTAACATGAAATAATCATTGATTAAATAAAAATGATGCTGTTTCATATATCACTTCCCCAAACCTAAACAAAAATCATCACTAGTGATCTTTGGTGCTTCTATCTGTTGCTTATAAATAAGCATATGTCTTTTGACTGGATTCCTAAGGACGCGCTTAATGTTGAGTTTTGCTATGAGGATGCACATTATGTGTTGATACTTTATTAGTCTGTTTATTTGGTTACAACTTTATACTTTATTACTTTATAGTCACTTAAGTGTTTTACAACTTTTCGGAAAATTAGTGATAGTTTAATCCGTAGTAGGCGATGAAGGTAAAATGAGAAATTCACATTTGTTTGGAAACACTGATACGTTTCCAGCATAGTCAGCGGAATAGGGAAAAGAAGAGATAAAGTGAAGGAGGAGGGAGGAGAGATATGAAATGGGTAAATGATTGAGAGAAAAGTGATGTATTATTATTTTTATCTTACCCATATATTGTTGTATTTTACAATTATTCCTTGAATTCTAATGGTTTAATGACAAAATGCTTAAGGAAGTGAACGGTAGTGAAAAATGGATGGATTGTGATTTCAGGATAAGGAAATGAAAGTTGAAGTTTGCATTTCGATCATCATAATCGGCATATGTAAAAATAAATCATATAGGTATAAACATCTCTCTCCTCTTTTTATGTATGCAACAATTAACGCTCAAGGTCAAACCTTTTGTATTTACACAACTTTCCCTAAAAAGTTTAATTTTCGTGTAAAATACGTGTTTTCTACGTGTATGTATACATATATATGTATGTACATATATCTGTATGCGTGCGTGTCCGCATGTGTGTGTGCGTATGTGTGTATGTGTGGGCGTATGTGTGTGTATGTATATATGTGTGTGTGATCGCGTGTTTATCATTTTAATTTCTTTCAAGTTGTCAGCCACAGAGTATGAGAAGGAGAACTTTGATGTAACAAAAACAGTCAAGGATTTAAAGTTTGATTGGATATGATTATCAGGCATTCCGAAATAACTAGCATGTTTTCAAAAGGAGTGTTTTTCATTGTTAATGTCCTAATTATGCTTTTTTTGCTTTTTTTTCCCGCAAAAATTAAGAATTTGAGAACTTAGAAACAAAATAAGCTCAGAAATACTGTCTTGCTAAATTTGATATTGAATTGTAATTTCTGCAATTATCAAGTTGGAGTAGATCATATGTTCTTCATTATTAGATGGATAAATGGAACAGACTAAGTGAACCAATAAATTATATAACCAGAAATGGTGATGTAATTGGATCAAGTTTGTTTTCTATTCTGGTTTATGATTTAATATCCTACTATAGATCATTTACTAAAGTTAGTCGTAGTCGTTAGTATTCTGTTTTTTATGATAAGAAATTCTCTTTTATTGAGATTTATTGAACGTGTAATTTTGCACACTGTTGATTCTACCATGCCTTGGTTTTAGCTAACCTTGCAAATTGCATGTTCATCCATTTTTCATTTCATTTTCAAGTTGATCAAACTTTTACCCTCAAAGAGCAGCGGGCATTTTACAAATGGTTAAAAAGGGAATTTGATGTCATATCACTGAATCAGGCTAAGAAAAAATTTTATAGCTATTTGAAATACATTGTTGCGAGTAGCTATAGCTGTTCAAAATGTTATTTCTTTGTAATGAAATTGGAATTCCTTCATCATGTCAAGCTTTTAATAAATTACAGCCAAAATGAAAAAGAGAGAAATTTATCGAATTCTTGAATATACGGTATTCATTTCGAATATTACTGCAGTATAGTGCCATTCTGTTTAGCTTGAGAAAATTTTTTCATTACGGAAATTGTTTTTTGAATGAAATAAGTTTTAACATTTTTTCGTGAAAAATTTTCTACTTTATTACGAAAATTAATTTAGAATCACAAAAATGCAGTTGTTAATTTGAATTTTACCAGTGGAACAACTGATATCTGATGGCATTATATTTCGGAACTTCCTCTTTTCTTCCTTACCTTTTTCATTTAATTTACTTGTCTTCCACTCTGAATATATATATATATATATATATATAATTGTATTCTCTTCCTTGGTTCTTTTCGATTTCTGAATCTTTTGCACATCTCTTCTTGACCTTTTTGAAGTCCATTAATGTTTGCAAGAGCAAAAAGATTAAATTTTCAGATCGAAAACTGATTAGACTAATTATCTCTAACTTCTTATCTTAATTTGAGTAGGAAGAAGTCTGGCTAGTCATGATTATAGAAAAATTATTTGAAAAAAAAAACCATTTGAACGCATTTATCAACAATTTGCTTTGATCCCATACTTAGTTATCTAACTTCCATTAAACTTGGGCGTATCGTTTATTTAAAGCGATTCCTTCGAATCATATGGGATATATGTAGATTTTTTTTAGTGCCTTCAAGATTCAACGTAAATAAAAATGCATGCAGAGTTTAGCATTTAGTTGCCATAACCCTCCTCCAACTTGTGGAGGAGCCTGCCGTAATAAGGATGGTATTGTTTGAGATTGTAAGAGACTCTGCTGCATATAAACTCTTAGCGAAACAGGAAAGTCACAAATTCTGAAAAAGTTTATAGATTGAAGAATAATTGTTTTTTGGAGTATCTAAAGAATGGATTACTTCATTTCAAACTTTCGGAATCCTAATTGAGTAAGATATGACGGTTTGCTAAATAATAATAATTCGACTCTATGAATCTGCAATAATTGTAAATGAAGGAATCGAAATAATTTGATGAATTTTCCCCTCCAAAAAATGAAAATCATAGCTGTGACACTTCCCGATTGTTGATGTCATACTGTTTGTGGTATTTTGAATTTTCTGGCTTTTGGGTAATAAGCACTTAAATGTTAAGCAGTCAGAAACAACAACTGACATGCATCGGATAATGAAAGGAACAAAAAACTCACCAATGTTTTGAAAAAATCGCCTATCGGGAATTCTTTTTTTCCTTTTTACATACCAAGGAAAACTATGTGGTATTGAAAATTCCTCGAATGAAGATTTGGTAAACCATAAGATCGGTGAACACATTCTTGGAGTGAGAGGATTAGGAAAATCCATTTATTCTGGAAAGCAGATTACCATGAACCCACTAATTCTTCAGATACTCTTAGGATCAACAAAATGTTTTTTTTTCTTGAAGATTCTTTCCCAACATATATTGACCAAGAAATGTCAAATAGGTCGATACTCTGTTCAATGCAGATGTTAATCACTATTATAAAATTGCTAAAAACGAAAGCTTGATCAATCCGTATTCTTTCAACTTCATTTATTTGACTATTTTTCAGATAAGGATTTTAAAACAGTTTCTTGATCGGAAGTCTTTCACTAAATGGAGTAAAAGAGATAGAGTGTTTATGATCCATGAGAAAAAAAATTAGTTTTTGATTTTTTGACCTAACATGTTTCTCCTTCACAATATATCTTAACGATAAAAATGCAATATTTTTTAGAATAGTTAAGAATTAATGTAATTTATAGAAGAACAGGGCGGGCAATTTTATAAGATGAGCGAGTAAACGAAACTAACAAGCAAAATACCTGTTTATTTCTATAAGCACTGAGTGATGCAGCAAAAGATTTGAATTCAGCATTTCGATATCGTTGATTAACAATTGCTAAAAATCTTAGCCATTAAATTTATGACCAATGAAATGAAATACAAGTTTGAAAGAAGTGCAAATAATATAGGGAAAACAGTGCTCTGTCATTGATCACTTTTAGAAAAACCGTGTTTTGTTATACAAGCAATTTAATTAGATTTCATAATCCGTTTTTATGAGAAAGGGATCATAAAATATCTTAAAATTCTTCATCAATAATCGGGTTTCAGCGAAAATCGTTTTTCTTCATTTTGTTTTACACGTAGAATTAGCATGATATATTAATCGGGCCATCGTCTGTTCATTTGACACAGCGTCATCCTTTCTTGTTGGACATAGTCACACGTGAACCTTGTTGACGATTTCACTGTCAAGGCATTTTGTTTATCTGCCCACCGGTCGGCTGTCATTGATTTGCGTCATTGATCTCAATTGAAGGAACAAAGTGTGGTTCTCAGCTTGCCTTTAGTTTCGTGGGAACGTAGCGTCCATCCTCATTCTGCCAATCTATTGTGATTATCGCATCGCATATAAGAAACTTCATCAAACATTTCGAAAACTAGGACTTTATAGGGAGATAAGATAAAAGTAAGCATGAAATATGAGAGCAAAATGCCTTCAAGTAGAATTATTTTTTTAAACGCAACATTCTGCATATTATCAAGAAGCATTTTGTGAAAATTAATGGATTAAGTTTGAGCAGAAATTATTATTTTGTTGTTGTTTGATATTTTCAAACGTCAATAAATGATGTTGATCGATTCAATATTGAAATCAAAGAGAGGTATTGCAATGAAATTTTTTGCAGACGAGAAGTTTGAACGCAGACACAACGTTAATAAGAATATCATCAAATTTCCATTGCCAGGAGGCCGTAGAGTTGAAGCCATTTGCGCAGAAATGGCCACTTCCGATGTGGTTTGTATTTCAGTATTTTTTCTATTCATTTAAATTTTCTACTTCCAAAATTGTAATGAAAGTTGGTACTATGGCAGTTGTTGATTGCAAAACTTTCTTATGAAGGAGTTCCCGAGAACATTTATGATTTATTCTGGAATTCGCTTGATAATGAATCATGGTTCATTCTTTCCGTTGTTATTATCTCCTCATTCTGTTATTCCTTTTTCGAATTTTTGGATGCATCGGAAAGTAATATAGCTTATTATGTTAATATAGCCTACTATTTTCTCTGTAAGCATATTCATTTCTTTGTATCTACCTCGAATTTTAGGTAATGGAAGCAGACAGCGGATTTGTGCGCAACGTACGGTCTCCTGGCTTATCAGATCTCGTCATAAGGGTTAACGGGAGAGATGTAAACGAATATGAGGAAAAACGGGATGAAAGTATGATTATTGATTTCTCTGGTTTTTTTTCTCTTTCTTCACTGCATTTTTACCTATATTTCCTTGTAAGAATAGTTATAGGTTTACAATAATGCAAAAATTTTCATTTTACCCTTATCTCTCTATAATTGTTTTTCGCGTTATTTGCCACCGAAAAGTTTCCCATAACTGATAGAACGTTGGCGCATAACTGGGCCACCCTCTCAGGAACAGTGTTCTTATTTAATATGCTGAATATATCATCTAAATTTGTAGTGATTGGAGAAGGCTTGTTCTCTTTCGATGAAGATATAGTACCAGAAAAAGAAACGGGTAATTTAAACGAGGGGTCTGCAATGTTAGATCTATTTTATGATGTTCATTCTAGTGGTTTGTTTATTCTTCATTTACCTATATTTTCTTTCAAATTCAAAAATTTTTCAAATGCCAGAACTAAGCTCTTGCAAGCAATTATTTTCAGTTTATTACGCATCCTGCTTTGTTCTTTGCTTTATTTTATCATAACTTAATTCAAAACATTGGAAAGGCTTTTGAGAAAACAGGCGATATTTATTTCGTGATGTGAAATACTACTCAATATAACTTAGCCATGTTTTGATTTACTTCACTTTAGATCTCTAGTTATAAACTTTCTTTCAGCTGTACTGACTGTCGTTTTGATGATGTAGCTTTTAAACGCCAAACTTTATGTTTCACTACGCCGTGATATATATCAAATTTTTTTATCATCAGCGATAAGGAGAACACTCTAAAAGAGCAATCACTATAAAAATCAAGCTTTTGATTTTTTGGTTAAGATTTTTTTAGATTTAAATTTAGTTAAGATAAAGTTAAGATTTTTTAATGATACATGTGATTCTTGCAGGGATTTTGATGTATACATTACAATAAACTTCTATTTTTGACACTTTTAATTTGCAGATTCTGGTAATTTTGATATGTCTCAGGGGCATTTGGCATTTAGTGAAGATAGTGCGGATATGGTTGTTAGAGTAAGGCATCCTGAAAATCCATGGATTGAGGAGAAAGGTATGTGCTTTGGTCATCTTTTGTTATTTTAATTTTTTCAATTTTCTATAATTTCACTGCTACTGTTGGTGTCAGATATGATAAGAGCTTAAAAGAATCGTATAGCAGCTTTTGGACTGTAAAGGACTATCCGTATGATGATATTTTTTAAAATGTTTTTAATTTTTAACCTTGCTGACCTGATCCTTCTTGCCTTAGAAGTGCTGACAATTCAAAAATGTCGTCTTTCCCAACGCAACATTCAGTTCTGTTTATGTTCCCTTGGTTGTTAATTTATTATTTCATAACTTCCGGTTTTTCCAAATCTTTTGATTTAGGACCATTTGGAATCCGAGAAATTTGAGCAGATTCATTTTCAACTTTCAGATTAAGGAAATGATGTTTTTTGTTTTGCTAAGTTGATTTCTAGAAAATTTCTTGAAAATTTAACCGAAAATCTTTGATTTATAGATGTTCGTTCAAGCTCAGAGGAACTGGAAGAAGATGAAGAATCGAAACCAATCCAAAAAAAGGGCTCTTTGGCATATGGCTGCTCGCTTCCAATAACGATTCCTTCAGGTCGTTTTTGGCCACCACGCGATGCTGTTGAGAGCATTGAAGGCAAGGAGATCCTTGATTTTGGTGAAAACCGTAAACTGATTGACAAAACTGTAAGTTTTCGGCATTCAGTACACAATTTTCTTCTGCTGATGCTCGGTCAAAAATTAAATGATTTCTAAAAAATTTTAGAAATTTTAGTCAACTGATGTTGACTGAATCTGAAATATAGTCACGATATTTACTAACTGATGATAACACGCCTTACAAGTCAGGTTTGAGGACGAACTTCTTTAGAAAATTGTTCTGTGGTAGAGTTTTAGAATGAAATATTCACTATTTTTTGTGGGTAAGCTATGATCTATTTTTCTAGATTTTGCCTCAGCGTCCACCAAGGGATCTCTATAGTGAGATCCGTGCCCAGGCTCGTTCAATTCAGGCGGCTGACGATCCAGAGCGTTTATTTGGCGAGCGTCCATCACGACGTCGTTATCAAACGGGTGAAGGATGGATCACATCTCAGGTAACTGCGCCGCTACAGACGTACACTGAGGGTACTGATGCTAGGGTTACTGCTGACGTAGAAGAACAAATGTCTTATTAATTCTTGGCCCTCCGATAGTTTATTTTTCTGTTAAATGTTGCTAAATGTTCCTGTTATTTTGTTTCTAAAGTGTTGGAACTCAGTAACTTTAATTATTTTATATTTTACTCGTTCATTTTGTCCTTTAGTTGTGAGAAAAAAACTGGATATCATTTTATAATTCTCAAAAGACTTTTTTTTTGTCTTTACTAAAGCATTAGGAGAATTTCCTGGGAGATCTTAAATGGAAATGCGAAGTCGGAACTGATGGGACTTCTTATAAAGTCTTTTCGGAATTATAAAATGATATAATGATGAGTATGAACTATTATGCACCTAAATTTGGGAACAGGAAGTGTAAGTAATACCTTTATGTGTTAATGCATAACCAGAAAATTTTAGGAAGTGCAAGATCCAAAAACATAAGGGTCTGTAACTTCATTGACAATACTTCCGTTATATTAAGATTTTTGCAACATTTTCCTGAATCATTTCTATAGTCATTGGAGTAGGTTAAAAAAATATATCCTCATCGAAAACATGTAATTTGTTGTTACTCGAAGTGCTGGTAATTTATTTGTTGTGTAGTTTTATTACATGTTTTGATTCCCATCACGGTTTTTCATTGGTTTCTGTTTTAGCCAATAAATCAACCAAGCTCATTTATTTCTTTTTCTTTCACAGGTTTTTGAAATATTTGATTTTCTTAGCAAATTCTCTCTCTCTTTTTTTCAATGCTGTACATTTTCTCCTCCAACATTTTATGTTCCTTTATTATGCTTTTTTTTGTCCATCTATGATTAAATTGTTACCTGCTCACTGTTTCATTTCGACTTGCGTGCTTATTTAAAAGCACAGATCAATACTCCCGTTACATTCGTATTTTTCTCTAGTTTTTTCTTGTTTTGATTGATTTCGTGTTGGGTTTTCCTTCTTATGTCAATTTTTCACTTTTTTTTTTGAAAATTAATAGTATGCTTTAAAATAATATGTGTCCTTCCATCATTCATTTCGTTCACAAATTGTTCCTGGAATAGTTTTTGGATGTGTTGTATTGTCGTGTGTGTATATGTCTATTAATTTATGCATTCTTATATGCATCTACGCGTGCATATATGTATGCCACATTGTATTTAGAATCAATCCTGTTTCTTCTGGATTTATTGGAGTATTTATGTCGCTGGTATCGTTGTATTTGCCGCTTAGAGTTTTTGGAAATAGTAGTCATTATATTAGTCATACTGTTATGTTCGGGAATTCCATTTGTTGCCATCATTATTACGCATCCCCAGTTATCGCTGATGGATCTGTCTTACATCCGCATTAACATCAGTGCAATTCTTCGCGAAAAGTATGAGAGCAAGACGTTAGAGTGGATATAATGTCCATTTGAAATGATAACTTTGCATACTGCTAAGTATTACTGCTAGATGCTGTGTTTGTTCTTATTCCGTTTTTTAATATTTGCGCATCGATGGTGATGGAAGTATTGTCGGAAACAGATTTTTTTTTAATATAAATGAGTTGAAATAATCCAAGTATTGTATTGTGCTACAATAACTGTTTTCAGTGGTCTGATTGTCGTAAAATGTTTAAATGTTAAATTATTGCAAAATGTTAGGCGGTGGATTTCTCGATCACTTAATTCTCTTTGTTTCCAAAAAAGACTGTAAATAAATACGCTTCATTTGTCAAATAGTCGCAAAATACTGTTTATTTGACTCTCTTTGTATCTAAAGGGATGTTTTAAGTTAGTCCATATTCATTACTTTCATTACTTCCAATTTACATCCACAAGGGTACTTCTTCTATCAGTTGTACCATCTATATTAACCTAGTGATGAAAATATCACGATTAAAATCGGTTACTGAACATAGCGACCTACTCCATTCGTAATATTTTCTAATGATTGTTGTTATAACGTTTGTAAAGAATAAATATTCTGTCAAACGATAAAACATTTGTCGCAACTTAAAACATTTGTCACAGCAAAAACTTCCACGACAAGTACGATGTGCTGTGAGATTCATAATATTTAATCAGGAATAGAGTCTTGGATTAAAACCATAACCGGCTCAATAAATTAGCAATTAGTTGAAATTTACAAGTCAGCTTCGAAGTTGTTGGAACTTTTGAAATTTCAAGCGGCTTTGCTGCATTTGCTCTAAGATTTCGCTGCTTCCAAACAGAAATTGTCATAGTAAAAGCTTTGCGAAAAATTCGTTCAATTAAAATCTTCCAAATTTTCATAGGAAAGAAAACATTTTCCAATTTCGATTGAATTGGACTAAATTTTGTTGAAACTACATTTTGCAAATAGCCGGCCAGAAAATGCAACAATATAAAAATCAGTTATGTAAATTATCCTTAAAATTTACGACGAAGTTCTTGGAATGCATAAAGAGCTAAATATTCTCTTTTTTTTGGCAAAAAACACGAGAATGATTAAAAAGTATTTAACAAAGAGTTCCTCTTACCTATAGCAGGATAGAACGATTGATAAAATAAATCATAACCGTTCTTTAATTCGAATATTGCTGAAAGTAACATAAACAACAGGAATAAACACTTCAAAATTACCATAAGCTTCGAAATAAACTTTTGGAGTTCATAAGCATATGTGTGTTTTTAATTCAGTGCAGATGAGAAAGTTAGGAACAAACAAACTCAGTAAATTGCCATAATACTTCTGCATTAAAGCTTATTTTAGCTTGCAATTAATAGAACTATTTTTTATTGTAGATTTCAAAACAATGAGGGATCAATCTCGCAGAAAAACAACTGATTCCATCCAATGTACCTAGAGCTAAAGTCATAACTCATGTGCCAGTTACTTTTTGATGATAGCGAGTGAATGAGGGCAGTATGGAACGAATGTAACTACAAGATTTACTTATTAGAACAAATTAATTTTGTTTGCACTGGTGGTCAGCGATCAAGATGAGATGTTCATTTTGAATACAAGGTGAACTACTTCGAGAAATAATGATATCCATTTTGAATACAAGGTGAACTACTTCGGGAAATAATATGGAGTTCAACATTACTCCCCCTTAGGTTTCACAGTTCGCAAAGTCCGGAATTAATGTCATTTGTGAACCCACATAAACTTTGCGCCTCATACCTGCTATTATCGTTTTACATTTCTTTCACATGTTTGCTTTTGCTTATTAGTGCATACCAGCGGGGGTCATATTAACAAAGCGGTCTATTATACCTAGTATTAGAATCTTGTTATTCCAACGATTAGGCTTAAACAGACGATTTAAGTGCAGCATTTGTCTCCTTCATTTTGTCTTGGCATGGTATCCTAAAAAAGTGTCACTTTCCCACCATATGTTTGTATTTCCCGAACCACATCGATATTTAGCTAACAAAGCATTTTCCAAGTGATGCATGATATTCCCCCTTAACTGAGATCTTTTTTTGAAGTGATTTAAAAACTAATGAATTTACTTGCCATATGCATATAGTTGCAATTAACCTTAAAAAATGGTGATGTAGAAGAGTGTAGCCGAGACCTCAACATGTTGATAGTTTACTGCGTGAAATTTGCGCGCTAATTGCAGTGAGTTAAACACTGGAAAGCTGCTACCAAATAAAGGAAACAGTCATAAGACAATTAGAATGTCATTATGGGAAACAAATAAGCCAGCAATACTAAGAGGCGCCATTTCTCCACTTAGTCATTTCACATGGTTGCGGGTAATGCCATTTCAATCGCTGAAAGCTTGGTTCTTTCACTTCTTTCCATACTTGGCTATTTTTGTTGTTTACGTCGACCTTCATTTCCTTACTCCTACAACTCGACGTAAGCAAGGATCGTCACATCATATCCTACCGCAAGAATTATCTTGCGACCTCTCGTTGCAAAATTGTCATGTGATATCCCGTCGCAACCTTTGCCTCTTCTATGTTCTCCGACACTTGCGTTCCGCTCATTATCGATTCGTTCTTGTGGCTTCATCGTATGTCGCTCTCTCTATCTACTACATTCTTCATCCTCGCCTCTATAACAGGCAGGTAAAAAGGCAATCCTCTGTGGTGGACCGGAACAATCCGGTTCGAGCTGGTTCGCAAACCGGTTGCATAGTCGACAGCCATCGTTTGGAGCAGGAAGGTACACACAATCATAAATACAAACACACACACACACACACGCACACACACACACCACACCCACATACACACCATTAGTAGCAATGGGCGTATGGAGAAGGAGGGGGTATGCATATATCACAGTGTCTGGAGATGCTCACGTGGGACTTTTTTTCATCCGTTCTGTTTGTTTGAGGGAAATTGGGTAGCCATCCACAGCTCGTCCATCGACGTATGTGTGCATGTGCGTTTTTTGTAATACGCGGGTATATGGAAACACATAGACGCATGAATGCATCTCACAATGATGATATAGCAAATCACCAACAGGATGAGTTAATTTGGATGAGTGATATGGTTACATGCTGAGTTGATGTGTGGTTTCGTCGGGTAATGCTTGTAAAGCACTCCTTCTAAAGTCTCCTGGCGAATCCAAATCGGAAAATGGGCCAACCAGGAAACCGTTAATCGTTCTACTTTATCATGCCCATTTCCTAATTCACTCAGAGTTTTTGTGCGATTTTTTTTCCAGCATTGGTTTTTTCGAGCAAAAAAAGCAGTAATTTTTTTTATTATAGAGATGGTTTACTAAAATTTCAACAGCTCAAATGCATCATCAGCTTAATTAATATATAATATGCTTTTTTTTGCTTTTATTCAATCCGATTTACTGGCGGATTAATTTGGTATAATTACATGAACATGTTTGACCAACTGTTTTGCAGATGGAAGAAGACTTTAATCGGTGTGATTTATGTCGCGCAAAACTCTGCGGTTTTTCTCCACCCGCTGATTTAACTCCCATTACAGCACTACTCCCATGTCTTCATACTTTTTGTCCGACCTGTAAAACTAAATGTGAACAAGGTTTGGTATTTTCTTGTGTACAGTTCTATATAGTTTGACATTTATTCAAAAAACATAAAAAGTCAAAAAATGTTCAAATTTTGATTTGGTTGCAGCATCAATGAATCACCAGACGTTGATTTGCCAGGTTTGCCGTACGGAATGTCTGCGATCTCATGTACTTAATCTTCCAAATGCAAGCGATTGTACTGTAAGGTCTGCCGCATACATTTTTGAACCAAAGCAGTGTGTGTGATTGTTGAAAGTACATTGACTTGTAAATATATGGAGTTACTATTATTGGGCTCTAAAGAGTAGTTAATAACTGGAGTTCGCGGGCAACTTCTTTTTGATGAACTCTAATTTGTACGAGAATAAACATTATACATCAACAATGTGAATTGTACAAGAACTGCCTTTTTTGTCATTATGCTGTGTTGATTACATATTCTGTTTTTTTTTTTTTTTTTTTTTCATATTCTGTTTCAGAAGGTGTGAATCTGCAGTCTGTCCAGATAAGCATCAGGCCACAACTAAATGTATTATTTGCAATGAAGCTTTATGTGCTGATTGTAGTCTAGCACATCAACGCGTCACCGCGACATCTTCTCATTTTTTGCAAACTGTTAGTTTAATATTCCTTTTAAACTCTTTTTATGGTAGAAAATTAAAGTCATAAATAATTGTCGCGATTACTTCAAGATTTATGTTTAATGTAGTAGTGATTGTTATGTCTGTTCTAAATGTTCAGTTAGGTAGGGCGGACACTTTGAATTATCGAAAAACTCCTTTCTCTTCTTAAAAACAATACCATATAGAACTTTTTCAGGCTGCACCACCTGTAAGTAATTGTAAGTAGAGAAATCAATATGATCTTTTCACTCCAACACTGGCAACCCATCTTCAGATTTTTTGTTAAAAGTACCAGCTATTTTGGGAAAGAATAGTGTGTTCGAAAAGTTTCTTTTGAAATATCTTTTTTATCGTTTTAGTTATGCCCTGTGATTCCGAAGTGTATCCGTTGCCATCTCCATAACAATATGAAAATTGTGTCGCTATGTCAGTGTGGATCGGTAAGGGCTTTTCGTTCGGTAGTTTAACTTTTGCCGCAGTTACATATATTGAAATTAATTGTTTATAGATTTTTATGTGATGTTTTTGTTAGTATCTACATTCAGTTCTTAACGTTGTGTAAACTGTATCTGCAGTATGTATGTATGACGTGTGTCGCCAGCAGGCTTCATGAGGGCCCTTCACATATGATAACACCCTTATCTCATCTACCAAATGCTCATGTCGATGAAAGTAAAATTACGTCTTCAACAGCACGAGAGACAACACATATAGATTGCAGGTATGGATATTGCTTTTTAAATTCTGTAATTAATAGCCTTTGCGAATGTCGTCAATTTGTTAATTCCTGTAGTTCTTTGACAACTGTCATTTGTTTCAGTATCTCGTTCTCAAGCTGTAATTGTTAATCCAAGACCTAATTTGGCCAGAAGTCATGCACTAAGCACTTTAGGAACCATTATTTTAGTAGTTTAACCAAATTATAAAAGGACTTTCCAGTTTATCAATGATACAAGTGCGCAAGAATGCTTTAAGTGAACGTGTTGCTAATTTAAAGAAGGAAGTTGGGAATCAAGTTGTACATATTTGTCAAGCGGTAATTATTTGCATTAAATGAACATTATGCAAAATCAGTTTTGGAGCTGATCGTATTTTCTTATTCCTTCACTTATTATCCTAAATTCACTTCAAGTAAATTTGAGATTTCCATCCTTTGTTTTCAAAGTATTGACATTTTGCATTAAGAAATTGTTCATTTAGTAATTTCTTTAAATTTCGGTATAGGATTTATATTTGAGATAAAAAATAGTGGAATAAATAAAAAAATAAATAAGTAAATGAGATAAAAATAGAATAGTGGAACCTTTTATCGACTTTTTTTAAAGCATTAAAATGAAATTTGAAAATGAATAAGCCGTACTTCTGATATAAATGCCGATTGGTTCATCATAAAAGTTTTTCTGACTGCTAAACTTTTGTAAATTTTATTTCTTTACAGGTGATGAGGAGGGGAAATGATCTGTTGCGGGCGTTGGATGCCGTTCAATTTTATAAGGGACAGGAATATGACAAACTTCGTAATGAGCTATTCTGGCAAAAACAACGATTCAGTAGAGTAAGTGTGATTTATTCTGATAAATTGCGCAGGAATTGCATGTCTCTCCTGAACCTTACTTCTTCAATCTGTTCTCAATAGCTTCTGATTTTTGCGACAATTTAGAAAATCATGCATTTCATATCGATTAGTCTTTGAAAATGTAAGTTGATTATAGATTAACTCGTACGCTTCACGGATCAAAGATTTTGAAGATCTCACTACGCTTGTAATCATGCGGCAGTTTTTGGAAAACTGTATAATAGTTATTAAAGCAAAGAAAGTCAGCAGTGAGGTTTGTTTAGTTTGCGATGTTTTCAGTATATATTTTTCGAAAGAACTTGATGTCGATTGCTAATGAAATTTACCCTACAATTTCTCAAAATTGTTTCAGAGAAGCTTAAATGGCCTGCAGCGTCCAGCAACAGTGCAGTTTAAACCCGATACAGAACATATTCTAGCGAATATTAGTCAATGGGGACGGATTTTTGCCGAAGTCGATGATTTAGGAACACTAAAAACTGTCAGTAGTTGTATTTAGCATTCTTTCTATAAAAAGCTGAACATGTATCACAGAATAACAGAAGGAATTGCTTCCTTGAATATCCAGTGTAATATGTGAATCTCACAAAAGTTACCTTCATAATTGTTGCGCAGAATTTTCTATGAATGCATGCTTAGCTGTATTTTTCATCACATTTATGATTTCTATAGGTTGAAGTTACGCCAACACCTCTTTCTTCAAGTCCCATAGATGTTCCATTGTTTGACACCGCGACGAATAAGTCGAGAGGATCTTGTTCATCAACAAATATCTATGCACAACGCTCGTGTTCTAATGGATCGGTCGGGTCGAGCACCTCAAATCCCAGTACCATGAGACCGTCAGTATCACAGGAGCATTCTCGGCTTTTGCAACAACAGCAGTTTCATGTTCAGGAGGTTGGTTGTAAGACTCTGAGAAGTCTTAAATCTTATCACTAATGATTAAGCTTACATTTTTTGGTACATTGCATTTTATACTTGCCACCAATTTTCAATAAAGAAGGATTAGTTATAAGTGTATCTTAACTTTTTAACTTGTAGTTGGCTGCAAGACAAATGCAAAATGCTCGAAGGCAGGGATTTCCGCAGTCCCAGTTCCTCGGTTCTTTGTTGACTGAAAACTCTCAACGTTCTGGATCTATTCAGTTGCCCGGTCCACGATATTCGTACCCATATGTTTGTGAGTTGGATTCCACTTTTTTTTTCACTTGTTTTAATCGCAATGTATAGAATGGCACCATTTCTTTGGGAAATGTAGGGGTGACTGTTTCGGATAGAATTTCAGATTTCAGATTGAGTGATATGTTTGAAGTTACAAAAAAACTGTTTCACACAATTTTGAATAAGGAATTTCGGGAAAACAGACCTAGCTTTTAAGGAAAATGAGAATGTAAATAACATTTTTTGGACTAGAGTTCTCGTTTTTAATATTTCACATTTCTGAATTGGGATTATATTGGTGAGTCTTATGCTTTACTACCTATGGGTTCAGTGGAATTGAAATCTGATTTACAGCTGGGTTGACTCCAACCGAACGACCGTATGTTTCTCCGTATACCCTGCCTGCTGGGCAGATTATCCCATATGCTTCTCAGCGAATGTTTTTATCAAGTTCTATACCAACTCAACAATCACCAACATCAAATTTAGTTGAAGCATGTAACAGTAAGTTTTCTTACAGCTATAAGCATCTTTGTAGACGAACATTGTTTTTAAACAGTTTAAGGTATGCGTTTTAAGATGTCTCGACAAATACTTTTTATAATTCAAGAGGACTTTACATTTTTGCAGTGCTTGAACGCTTTTGCCACTTACCATTTATCTGTTTTGCCACTTATATATTCCTAGTAAAACAATTGCTTTTTGAGAGGACTTTCAAAAGTCTTGGTCGTTTGTTGTATGAAATCAGTTTCAAACGCGTTTTGTAAGCGATGAGAAAGCGATAGTTTGATTGTACGATTATTCTGCGTGTGATGCTAAAATTTTATGAAACTGTTTTGTTTGAGTAATTAATTACATTGCAGGTGTTCACCGAATCTCGAATGTTCAATTAACGGGCTCACCGTCGGGAAGCAGTTTATCTGGGACTTCTTTAGCTCCAGGGACTCATGCAAGTTCGCTTCCGAGGCGATCTGGAGAATCATTGTATTTTTTGTTTGCTTTAATATGATGCCAATTTGTTTCTTGAAGTTCATCGTTGTATTTTTATGTCAACCTTTAAGGAATTCCGGAATCATTTGTTCTTCTGGTTTAGCTAGTAACCCCTTTTCATAGACCAAGAATTATGGAGATTGCCAAACATTACTTTTGTTTTTGATTCTTGAGTCGTTGATTATGACGTTTTATGTATTATTGATGAGGTTAATTACGATATTTTTATAGAATGCAAACTAGTCGGCTTGGCATGGTCAATCTCTTACCGGTTTCAAGTTCGAATTCAGTTTCCACTGTCTCTTTTTCTACTACTACACAAGCTATATCATCCAGTTCAGTCACAGTAAATACTCAGCCTATCGACAATTCAAACAATGCTATTGTATGCACTCAAAATGCTGACACTTCTGCACCTGATGATAGATCTGGTGTATGCTTTAATTCACAGGTCTCTAATCTCAGTGTAACACCTTCATCCCAACAGAAGTGTGCTCCTACGAATTCTGGAACGTCAGCGAGTACATGGTAGATTACTGTTTTGTGTTGTAGCAACAATGTTTGGCATATGACGTGCATTCTTACTATTTTTGGGGAAATTTTAGTGAACATCCGGAAGATTTTACTTGTAATTACAGTGTTAGCTCACCACCACCAAAAGACCCCGAACCAGCTCCACTGAAAATAACGGTTAACATCAAAAAAAGCAACAATGATGAAATTGTGAAAATATCAAATATGTTCACACAGTTGGATCAGAGCAGACTGTCGGATCCGGAGCAAATGAGAACTGGAAGTGAGCAGCAAGGTTTGTTATTACTGCTGACGAAAGTTTAATTACACCTATTTTATTTATCCTATTTTTGATTGTTCCAGTAACAGCAGGGTTTTCGGGGAAATCTACAATCGTCTAACTTGACACAGTTACTTTTCTTGCCACAATCATGGAGACAGTAATTCTAAGAATTTTGGATTCCATTAAAGCCTTAACTGCAGAATGTTTTGTTGACCGATTGATTAATAATCTACATTGATTTCATTGAAATAAATTTTCCATAATTGCCTCAAGAAAAAATATATAATTTGAACAGGAAGTTCGGCAGATAATGATGAGTCAAGATGGGATGATTATTGCTATGTGTGCCAGCAAGGCTGTGATGAAAAAACTGGCTCTCTTGGTTGTTGTGCGCGTTGTCCACGAGTTTTTCATAATATTTGTCATATCCCAGCTATAAAAGAGCAAATGGAGAATTTACCGTATGTTTTGTGGAGGTTATGCAGTAGTGTTACCTGTTGTTGATAGATAGCTTAATGTCCTATTTTATTTTGTGAGCTGTGGTTAATATTCCGGGGTACCGGAAAGTTTTTCCCCATTTTTTGCTTATATTAATAGTAAATTTTGCAAACGATAGCAATTAAAAAGTAGGACTTGTCTGTGTTGAATAGTGAGCCAATTAGTAGTGTCTGGTGCTTCCATTTCGACTGTTTCTGATAATGATTAATTCAAGTTATGTTTGATTCCTTAAATTAGTTGAATTGGTGATTTTAGGGATGAATGGGCATGTTCATTATGTACTGAGGCAGAACCATTGCACGAAAATGCGGGTACAATGGGACAACGGGAGAGATTGGTAATATTTAAATTTAATCGATTATGAATGATGTGTTCATCATCTCTTTACATCCCATGATGACTTGATGAAAAAGAATTTTTTTTCTCTATCAGGAATTTGATAATAAATATTGAGATGATGAAAATATTAATTTTAGCTCTGCTCAAAGGTTTTACTAAGTTGCTATGAAAAACATTTGGATGTGGAACCATTTTGTCAGCCTGTGCCACGAACTGTCGTTAGTTATCATGTGATCATTAAACAGCCCATGGATTTTTCTACTATTGCACGACGTTTGAAAGAAAAATCGAAGGATGCATTCACGAACGTTGCACAGTTTATCCAGTGCATGAACTTAGTTTTCGAGAACTGCTCGACCTTCAATGCAGTAAACATTTTTCTAGTGCTTTGTTCTTATGAGAGGTACCTTACTGTTACATTTAGAGAAGATTAGCATGTCACAACCACGATATAAGCTGAATGAATGTTTTTATGTACAGAATTTGGGCCGATTCTTTTTCTCTGATTTATCAGATTTTTGTGCGTAAGAGATGATAAGTTAAGGCTTTTCCTTCTAGAGGTCTACCTGGTTTAGTTATTTGATTTTTGTCGCAGTGGAGAAAAAAGATAACGCTTAAATAGTTCATCGCATTTTTAAACCGTAATTTATTTTACGTGATATGTATCCGGACTTGAAAATGCTGAATAGTGATCTCGTGAATATTCTGTTCTGTAAGGAACTCAAACATATAGAAATAATTATTGTGACTTGCTTTAAAATCAGTAAGATTTACTTTAATCTTTCACTTGTTCACACTTTCAGCCAGGTGATGAAGTAGCGAAGGCGGGACGTTCTGTCTACCAAATATATAGTAGAGCAGTAAAAGAGAATCTTCCGTGTATGAAAAGTCAGGTGTGGTTATATGTGAATAGATATTCGGAAAATCGTCATGCAGGACTAATGCAAAAAGAGCAGGTAGATATTTGTATGTTCGGCATATGTTGCTTACATCTCTCATCTGGCGTACAAGAATGTGCATGCATTTAAAAGCTGTAGTTGATCTCTACATTTCTTATTGATCATCTGGACATTCGAATTATATCATGGTGCTTTCCAGTACATCATTTTCTCTGGTTCGTCCGAAAATTTTTGTGAATTATAAAGTTTCTGTTTCTGTTTCATGGTGTTATTTAGAAAATTGTATTTGTTGTTCAAGCGGCAAAATATTGCAGAATGCCCAAGCCTCATCTTCCAGTGCACGGGTGCATGAAACATCTGCAGAACCTGTTACTAAGAAGATCAGAAAGGAAGTTAAAAGTGAATTTAGTGAAATCGCATAAGATTTTACGGCAAGTTTGTTCATTTTTTGTGAAAAGTTTACTGAAGATAACATATACCTCTTGTCATAATTTCATACTGAATGTTGAGATATGCTATGGTGGAACAGACAGTGGCGTACCGTCATTAAAACGGAAATCAAAGAAATGAGTGCATGGGTTAATGCCTGACATCACTTTTTTAATTGATGAATTTCCAGGGTCTAACGTCTAGAATTTGACAGGTAGTGTAACATCTCCTGATTTCTAATTTTTTTGAAGTGATTCCATTAAACACAAATATTTTTCTTTACCTCTTCCTTTGTTTCTTCCTTCGTTGTTGTTGGAAACACTGCAGTTTTAAGTATGAGGCTATGTTCTTTCCCCTTGTGATTCATACGCTGGTTTCTTTTTATATTCCCAGTGACGCGTGATGCCTAGGATAGCGCCGGATTTCCCAGCAGGGAACGCAATTCCAAATGAATTTGTGGTTCCAAATGGTGAATTCGGAAATTTTTATGCCAGACGTTAAGCGTTATAGTTATACCGACTGGCTCATTGAATTTCGTTATGTAATTAATTTTTAAATATCTGTTTATTCAGTTAATTCGTTTTGGGGATACATCTTATTTTATAATTGTTTTGAATAAAGAACTTGTGAGTGAAATTCATTTTTCGCAATTGAGCACACACCATTATCCATCAAATTTCAAATCTATCATAGAAGTTCATTACCTCGAGCTCTAAGGCTTAGTTCGAAAATATGAGGTTTGTTCTCTTCAAGCCTGAGGATTGTTGCAAAGTTCACTGATCTTTTTGTTTTGGTCCTAGTTCCTTGTACGGGCTGCTGATTGTATCATAAGTATGTCTTATGAACTCTATATATGCATTGCATGTCTGCTGGGCTTGAAAATACTGAACTTGATGCGTAAGGAGCAGTGACAGGTTAGTAAATAAAAACCCAACAAATAGTTTGATTAAGTACTCTTTGTAGGGAGTATTTAATCAAACTGCTCAAGAGCCTATAAAGATGTAAAATGAACAAACGTTAACGGCACTGTAATTTGCAAATTGAGGTAAAAACTGAAACATCTGGCCGCTGGAACGAGACTGCGTTGATGTGATTAACGCTTGTGAAGTTTACTGTTTCATGCTTAATTGCTTATCAATTGTTCCTCTGATTAGGAAGTGGTTGTGAAAAGCAAAGTTGATTCAACTTGGATGAAACTCGTTTATAAGCCTGTAGGAGTAGTACCATCACCTGCTCTTGAATTAGTGGTGAGTAGTGTAGTGAATGAACGAGCAGAAACACGTTCATAGTGACAGTCCAGAAGTGCACCACCTGGTACACCGTGTCGTAACTGTCGTACAACATCTTCCATCATTTCTGTTAACTCGAGGAATGTTGGTCGACATTTCGGGTCTTCCATCCAGCATCGTCGCATGACGTGATAATATCTGGAACATACAAAGGTCATTTTTTTCCGAACATTTGCAAAACTCTGAAAATCGATTTATTTCAAGAAAAAAAGATCAAAATAAGCTTCTAGCTTTGCTTTTTAACACTCAAGAATACACACTGATAACTGCAATTGGATTCACGCAGGAGTAATGGAAATCACTATTGATATTTTCTTAACAATTATAGTGATCTGAAGTGGATTATTATCAGAGTTGTTAAAGCAAAAAATATGATCTAGTTATCAGAAATGGCGAATAAAAAATACAGGTTATCAGGACATCCTTTTGGTTTCATCAAACGATGTCCACTCTTTAATAAACGGAGGATATTTGTAAATTCGAGGTCTGCATAAGGAATTAAACCGCGCGTAGCTAACTCCCATAGTACAATTCCATATGCCCAAACATCTGCTTTGAATGTATACTGCAATATATTTCAATGACTGATTAATTACTGAAAATTATTTCTTTACAAAATAACAGTTCCTTTTTGACTACAAAAGTGATTAATTCATTTCATACTGCTAGAAAAAAAATAAAAATTTAGAATAAAAATATATTTTTGTCTTGAATTTGATAATTGATTGATACATCTAAATATTACGCCAAGCGAATATCGCAATATGTCTGACTTAAATAAAAATCTACAGTTTTGAAAACATATCTAGCCTTCAATGACTACGAAATGAATTGAAAGTCTGGTGACATTTTCAGGTGATAGACCTAAAGATTTAGAAACATAGATCGTTTAATAAGATATCCTACAAATTCACACCGCTGTAGAAGAGGTTTAGCGTAGATGAGCCAGAACTTTCAGTAGTTGACAGTTTATCGGTTAAATAATGCGATCCACCAATATCAATTGGAATGGATCGTTCCTTATAAAATTTGAGGATTCTTGATTATTATGATGATGGAAAACCAAAAAATTTTAAATTTCCTATAGTAAGTATATTATGAATGAGAATAATTACATGCTCAAAAACTGAGCTGTCTGGCATGAAAAAATGGGAAAAACCTGTTGTTCTTCAAGCGATTCAATTGGCATCCATCGAATTGGGATCCCACGATCTTTATGGATAGCCTGATACATTCCACATCGTGATACATCCCGACTCAAACCAAAATCAGCAATTTTAACAACAAGGTATGCATCTAGCCTTCAATGATTGTAAAATGAATCGAAAGTTTGACGACTTTTTTCAAGTTATAAAGAACTTAACGAGGCCAAAACATGGATAATTTGATGAATATCCTACACATTTTCAAGAAGTATAAAAAAATTTTTCGACAAACATGCAGTTTCGTGCAGCAAGATCTCGATGAATAAACTGTTTGTCATGCAAATAAGTCATTCCCTTTGCAATTTGAATGCCAAAGTTAAGGAGGTTACCAAATGTGAGTCTCTATAAGCACAAAAGTAATAGGAAAATAAATTTGATTGGAACAGTTGAAAGAATAAAATCATGGCGGCGGCCTTAATGAAGGATCGGAAAAAATTATTTATTAAAACTGTTTCACGAGATTTTCAAATTTTGTCATGGCGTGAAAGAAAATAAAATAAAAACTACGTTTTCTGGATTAATGATATAACGTCGTAAATCTCCTTGAGCCATGAAATCAGTAACAATGATGGGATAATTATTGTTGGTTGAGGAAATACCAATAAGTCGAGCAACATTTGGATGATCAAAATTAGCCATAATCAAGCCTTCTTGCAAAAACTCGCTAATGCCAGTTATGACACCATCATTATGTGAATCGATTGTTTTACATGCTACATCTACCAATTGACCATTAGCGCTTCGATATACTGCCCGATAGACAACACCGAAATTTCCTGCAAAACAATTCAATTCGCTAATTATAACAATTTAGATTAGCTCAAGCATCATCGCAATTAGCAATAAATGGTAGTGCTTAATAAGATGATATTAGGTAAATCACACTACCTTTTCCAATTTCGTCACCCAATTCCAAATTCTTTAGAGGTATTTGCAACTTTGAATCAATTTCCATAAAGAGATTTTCATATGGATTAAATGTTTTCATTTTGTCGCCTTTTCTTTTGAGGCCAGTGAACGGATTATTGCTCGCTGAAAAGAACTGTTTATAAAACATGCGCTTAAATATGGAAAATCCAGTAAATAAACAGGAACCAAAGTAACTGGAAATTACTTCAAATAGAAAAATGAACTAACCGAATGTGGTATGACTTGTGTCAAGCGCTATATGTGAGCCACTTGTATCGAACTGTTTCATTCGTTTTCGTTGACGCTGTAAGGAAAAAATGAATAATAGTTAATTCATGCCGGAAGCATTGTAAATAACAGATTTATTGATATATTATGCTTGATAATGTGAAAATGGAATTTCAAATGAAAATACCATTCTCATTCCTGATAAAAGTTCAAGGCTAACTTTATGAAATTGACGAAGAAGGTATAAAATAAGCTCGATCAGTAATGCAAGTACAATCACTGCAAATATTGCTGCAATTGCTCTGCTTTGCCTTAAAATCAATTTGAATGGTCAGCTTACATTGAGTATACCTAACAACATTTGGCATTTAACAATATCATTCTTTTACATGCAAGGTTATGCTGAAATACAATCTCGTTACAATGAACTCGCAATAAGTAACACAAGTTTTTTCAAAATAGCGAGGTGCGAAGTTTCAAAAAAAGTGAGTTGGATAATCAATTCTATATATTGAGTTGAAGTAATTAATCACTATTTACTAAAAGTAATGAAAAGATGCAATCTAAAAACTACTTTGAATGTGAGTATGTGCTTGCCAAAATGATGTTTGTAGTGTGAGAACTCCGCTTTTTCGGCAATTCAAAAGTGATGATAAATTGGCCAAATGACTTTAGCTTCCCTTCCAAATAAAAATTGCAATCTCCCATAGCATCATTTGACATGTTTACAACACAAGATAGCCTTAAAAAATATCACGTACTGGAATTCTGCTGCCTTTTTCATTATTTATCAATAACCAAATCCTTCAGAAAGTTGAGAAAGAACAATTTTCTTGGCACTAGCTACTAAAAGTATAGCCGAACACATTAAAAAAAATCTCTTTGCCAAAAACGAGTACAATATAACTAACTTTGTTGCTCCGTAATTTGAAATGATACAGTTCCGATTACATACTCTGGCAACAATATCTTGTAGTCTATCGAATTTCTTACCATATACTTCAAGAGAAGTGTAGTTGGAGAAACTTGACGATGGAACATTTATCTCAAATATTTGTGTGCTGTGAAGAAGTAGATTCACTCTATTATATGAATTCTGCCGTAAACCAAAACACCTCAACTTGATACTTTTCAAAGCATTTTTTAGTGCTTTTTTTTGATTAATTCCACAGAAGCTTCAAGAAAACAGATACAAATTGAAAGTCTAATTATCATAACGAACAGAGGTGTCACTAACTTAAATTTAAAGCTAAGCAAAAGTCAAACTTCTTTATTTCACATTGCGATGCACTTATAATGCAGTCGCATAACATTGCAGAGCTTTACTTCTTCACTCATAGAAGCAATTTTTCTTAAGAAAATGATATTGAACAAATCATTTTTCAAAATTTAATGAGACTTTCCGGAAAAATCTCACACTAAGTATATGATTTAAAAAATACACAAAATAATAACTTACATGCTCAATAAATGGCGTACAAAGGTTGTCAACAGTGTAGGATGGACAATTGCCCTCAGACCGTGAAAATGCATAACCGGATCCATTTTTCATAGCACACCAAAGGCACCGCAGTGGATCGGACCAGTTCGATCTTTCCAGTGAATCACAGCTTTCGTAAAAATAGGAGCATGCCAGCTCTGCATAACTTAGCTAAAAATGAAAAGGAAATCGATTCTGAAAAAAACTGGAATGAGTTCATCTTAAAGTTTCCGTATGGAATTTCAAAATCTGCCATTCAGCCATTCAAAAAAGTCTTTTGTGGACTAGAACATCAGTTCTGCAGAAAAAATCACGAACTTCGTTATTCTGAACGAAATAAATTCGATTGTATGAGAAATCCGCAGCGATGCGGTATCGAGCAGTATGTTCAGTGTATTGAGTCCTCTGCAGTTGAAGTGACCACAGGAGCGATGATGCCACCCGATCTGTTTGATCCGATACCTAAATTTGTACCGAATCCAGAAAAAACTCAAAAGTTTTCTCTTTTTCAAAAAGAAAAAACATCGCCTACTAAGATTAGTATTTCATTTCAAAATAAATTAGATTACCCGATTTAAAAAACCATCAGAATGAACGATGAATGATGCGCCATCTTCATAAAAGCGTTTTACGGATAAGATATCCTCACCGGAACCCGGTAAACTATAATACATGAAGATCTATATAATACATGATTAGAACTATTGCGAAAGTATCAGAGATTAATGCGACGAAATAGTATACTTTAAACAATATGAACTTTGCAAATTGAATTATTCTATTCACTTTCAATTTCTTTCGCATCACTTCGATCAAACACGAAAATCGGAATATTATTTGTCTGTCGAACGAAAAGAACTAAATATTGCTTCAGGTAAATTTTAAGGCTTCCCATTCTTTTGAATAACGCTCGAAGCTTTCATTATGATTATGCTATAAATGAGTACTATAAAGATCCAGACCCCCTCCTTAACCCATTTACGTCGAATTATATGAGAAGTGAGCAAGAAAGCGATCAGAATCCTTTCTTATTAAATTAGTTTTTCACTCTATGTTTAATTTTTGCTGTCATCTCTTCTATTCTTTCAATTTCACATGGATCTAAGACAGAAGGAAGAAAAAAATTTTCGATGATAGCTTACACTGCTATGAGTTGTCCTGCAAGTGCATGAAACTGTTCTAACCATCCATAACGATATGCAAACGATGGGAATAATTCCAAACCACAGTTGTCTAATGGTTCCTTTACATAGTTCTGCAATATAAATCTTAAGATACCATATTCCGAATGCTTAGTATAACTCCAAGAACTGTTCTCATATTTAATAAAATTTCAAAGAAAGGAAATTAAAATTTAAAGAATTTTAAAATAAACAGACTCACACCACCAAATTTCGAGCAGGTTCGCATAGCATGTCCGTCAGCACGCCGTGAAAATATATAACAATATGGAGGCAACTCTTCCGGATTTCGAACTTTTTGGCACTCCTGAAATTCTTGTCATATTCAAACTGAGAAGTAGTTCAAGTATTCTTCAAAGCAGTAACCAAGATTTCTTTCAGTTTTGTACAGTTATATGGCTGCCAATGGTGATGTGAAAAATTTTCAGAAATTGATAACTGCTTGATCGAAAAATTACAAAACAAAAAATTATGCAAGAAATCTCTTTCTATACTTGTAGAAACGAAGGTAGGGCTAAATTATATTTCAAAAATGAACAAAATCAACTTGCCTTAATGGATGACTTAGAGGAAATGTTTTGACAGCTAATCCATATTTCATTGAATGCATTATCAACAAGGTCCATAGAATACTTACATACAACGTTTTCATTTTTTTTGAATGTTTGAAACACAACAATCAGCTCATCACTATCGGTATAGTATTCAGCCGCCAAAGAAACAACATCCGTCTGCAAACCTAAACAATTTTCTAAATTCGATTTTATAACTGAAAATGCAAAGAAACGTAAAAAAAACATCGAAATTTGAGCTGATCAGTGGGAAACAACAGTCCGTGTTTCAATTAAATTAAATAATTACGGACAAGTTTTTAAACTGTCAAAGCTGAGTTTTGTCTACAAAACGCAATATTTGACTATTTTGTTTTAGCAAGAAGTCCATAATACTAGTCGTTGAAATCACAAAAGTCAATTTTAATAATCATGATTAATCATCACTAAAAAAAAACTTCAAGATAAACTATTTATTTATATCACAATTAAAAAAATTTACTGAAATTTCTACAATTAAGTGCCATATCAATGCGAGACTCAAGCTTTTCTGTACGATCCTTGTCACAAATTCGAGTTATTCGAACAGACATCACAATTAATTCTTCGATCCTGGCATTGATGTAAGGTTCATAAGGTCGTCGTGCTGATCCCACAAAAAACGTGTAACCGCGCCGATTGAATGCAGTTGCTAAACCATGCTTGTCAGTGATTGGTATGTCCTCTGCTGATTGTACCGATAGCAATTTATCACCCCTATAAAATTATTATTAATTGCAGAATTATTCAGGAAAAATCCTTCAATCATCTCTAAAAAGTTTTAAGTTTCAATTTAGATATCCAAGCTCCATACCAGTATATTATAAAGCTCTGTTAAAAAATGGTATACTTGTTGATTGCATAATACGATGGGAATCTAAGGATGATGGCCTGGTCAGCATGTTTAGTTACGATTCGTATATTGACATTGTGGTTATGATCCTCCACTGCTGTTGCGTATACCAATTCTTCAACATTTTTTTCATCCAGTGTCAACAGATATTCCATACAAGACTTCTCTGGAGAGGTCAATACACATAATCTAAAATTTAGTTCCAGAAATTATTTTAAATTTCTGCCATTTTGAATTATCTTCAACTTTTGAGATCTCATGGAACAGATGATAAAGGATTGAAATACATAATATAATAGAATTTCGAACATGTTCCATGTTAAAAACAAATGAACCTGCACGTGAAAACGTCGCAATAGAGTAACATTTCATGATTAATAAATTTAAATTCCAATAATTTCTTTCGAATTGGTTTCGACAGTTGTATACGATCCACATCTTCAATCTTCATAGAGGATGAAATATTGTATACAACAATGATATTATCCAATGCAGTTGCAAGAAGCTTTTCGTATATTGTAATACCATATATTGTACTGCTACTTGGGTATCGTACTCTTGTAGCCTGATTCCATTTATTAGTACTGGATGGGAATGTGCTAATATCAGTGAATGATGCAATATTGCCTTTGTTATCAGCGTGGACTAAATCAAGAGCAAAATGAAAGGAAGTTAAAATTGTTGATGTTGTTAGATACGCCCAAGGAATATGCATTCATAAAGAATTCATTAATCTAAAGCGAATTCTTTCAGCTTATGTTCCGGTTACATCGATTCTTTCCTGAATATTTGAATTTAAGATGTGAACTATTTTTTGCATGAAAATTCAAAAAAGAAAAAACACACGTGTTACACTGCAGCATGAAACGCGAAATGTTATGATTTTAAAACACAGGAATTCAGATTATTGGTAAAAATTTAGAACATGAGTTTGAATTACCATATCTCTCTATATACATTATTAATCGCACCAAATTCATTTTTTCTTGTGTGAGGGAAAAATTTCAGGAGCTAAACTGGAAAAAATTCAGAGAAAAAAAGGACGATATATGATATAGACCATGTTTAGTGGAAGGTAAATTTTGGAACTGATTGGAAATCTGAACACAACAGATCAGCTGAAATGAAGAAACACAATAAACCATAGATGCTTGAATCATTCTTGAGTGAATTAAAATCTAAAGATGACGAAAGATATCTATCTATTCATGCAGCGGATGCAAATTACATTTAGCATCATAGCTAATACTCATTCTGATAATTTAAAAAAACTGAATTTCTTAGCAAACTTGCTAAAATGCATTGCAAAGATAATCAATTAATATTTCAGGGACTTCTTCAATTTTTAAAATACATATACATAGAGTTTAAAAAAAGATCAGTTAGTTTGGAGTTGCGGAAAAAGAATTCCTTTGAAAATTGAATGCTACAACTTCATAGTTAAAATTGCAGTACACTTTGATCAGTTCCAGATGATCAAAAGATTTTCCGAATAACAATACCTAATTTCCATAATAGTTTCTTATGTTATTTAAATTACAAAGGAGTTCCCTTTAAAAACGCTTATCAGCTAGCTTAACAGCACTTCTTACACAGCAGTCAAGTTCAAATGTATCATCCGGAGAAACCGGATAATATGTTTGACCGGACTAAATCCTACATTCGGCTCGAAACTCCAAAAGAAAATAAGCGCAACCTTTTGTGACAGTTTTTCTGACATTTCAGCTTACGTTGACATGAATTTGTTACTCAAGAAAGCTTGTCCGTCTTTTCAACGAATTATACAAGAGAATTCCGAAAAGATTAATTCAATGTAAAGAAAGGAATTAAAATCTAAAAGTCGAAAAAAAGAGATTAAATACGATGCGCGGCATCTATTATGACAAAATTGTGAATTATCGGATGCGTTGTACTAGCACAACTGTAACGAACGTCTCCCATCCAAATAAACACGCACAAACACCAACACTAACAACTAAAATCAACAACTAACACCAACAACCAACACCGTCAGCCAACACAAGTGCGAATACCAACACCAATATCAGTACCAACATCATCAGCTCAACATCAATATCGGCATCAATATCGATACTCTACAATACATACATCTCGTGTGTTTTATGCATTATGGACTGTTTGGATAGTAGCCGATGACCTTAGTATCATTCAGAGATGGTATATCTGCGGTATATGTAAGCGAACTGATTTATGCCGTCGAGCAGTTAAAAATCCTCTTATGGCCATCCTTTGAAATCATTTATAAAAAAACTTCACGCATTATCCAATCAAATTTTTATATCTTTATGATAGCAACTTGAAAAATTTTTCTGTTTACCTAAAACCATTCACAGGAAAAAAAATCACAATCCATAAATTTCTTGTCATTACTTGCAGGCTAATTAATGTGAAATATGTTAAAATCAATCAGTCTTAATTGAAGTGCAGATTCGGAATAATGTTACATAAACTTCTCTATTTTTCACTCTAACCTCAAAAAGGTAAATCAAACAGGTATAAAGAAAAAAGAAAAACAATTGCTTCAGTTTGAAAAGAAAATGAAATTGTTTCGTTTTGGGAAAAAAAATGATTTCATTTTTGGAAGAAATCGTGGGTAGTATACACATATATATATATATATATATGCGCGTGTGTGTGTGTGTGAGTGTGTGAGTGTATGGTGTAAAGTTTGGTTACATATCTTCCTCATTTCTACTTTCTGTGGTAGAAAATGTTCAATTTTTGAAGTAACTGCAGACGTATAAATTTTTGCAAGAACTGCAGGTATTTTAAAGATCGATAAATAGGGGTCGATCGATCACGCTAGCATAATATTCATTCCTCTGTATTCTAGTATTTTATTTTTGAAGGCATATAGACAACATGATACTTCTGAAACATCTGGTAGAATTCGAAAAAAAGAAAGGTTCAGTGTTCATCTTCCATTTTTCTCACTGCCTTTGCAAATTATGGAAAGAATTTTATAATAAGCCAAGTTTTATAGCAGTTGGTTGAACTGTTTTGTTTATTTCAGGGTTTTTGGTTTTAGTACCGAAATCATCTTTAATTCAAAACGTTTGTTACGTAAAATAACAAGAGTGATGATTTGATCATTAGTAGGGATTAGTGCTTTGTTAGCATATGGAACTTTTTTGGGCAAAGATCACTAATATCGATAAAACATTCATGAGAAAAACGAAGGCAAATCGATGAGAAAAAGAGAAAAGGAGAGAGGGAGAGAGAGCAGGGTCATTTAAAATGGTTATGAGTGTGTCATCAATACGATCACCGAAATTGTTTGTCACTGATTTGAGCATTTTTTGTAGAGAGGGAACATTCAGAGAAGATACAGCAACGTTTACTTTACATCACTTCATGTCACCTTCTATAAACGAATTTTTCACTATCAGAACCATTTGGAACAGACAATAGTGCTACATTTATTAACATTCTCATGTAAAAAGGTTTTCAATTTGTTTGGTAATAAAATTTTAGCTGAAAATAAATTGTGTTAGCACCAATTTTAAAAATGAGTAAAAAATTCATTGCTATAATCGTTTCGCATATATGAAGCAATATCAAGCAGGATTTTAAATTCGACCCTAATTTAAATACTTAACAATCGATAGAAGCATCCTAACATTTTGATGAAAGTATACGACAGAATGCTTCAGTTATCTTCATCGAAAACGTTTGGATTGTAAAATGTATCACAACTATCATGATATTATTCTTCTTTACCCTTCAAAAAAATAAACTATTTTTATATTCGCTTGATATTCTTGAATTAAGCGCCCTATTAAAAATATAAAATAAAATTAAATGTCCTATGTAATAAATTTCAACTATCAATATGCATGCAGTTGTGATACAATTTAAATTTCTGAATATTTTATATTAAATTGATACCACGGCTATTTGCGAATATTAGTGAAAGTATGAAATGATTTATTTAAATTTATTGAATAATTGAACTAATGTGGAAGAAACAATGACGAAAAAATTTTAATGATACAATTATATTCTATTGCTTGTTCACCTAGATTAGATTCATTGAAAATGCAAATGTCTGTACTATCATAGAAGGTAAATCTCTCTAATACCGCCCTGCGGAAAATCGTTTATAACACTTACTTTTTCTGTATTATCTTTTCATATAAAGCACGATGTTTTACACTTTTATGAGAAAGGATTTTTTAGAAGAATGTCTATTTTGACTAAAAATTGTATATTTTTTTAAGGGAAATTCTTATTTTCAAACATCTCAATGTTTCCACCCTATCTGTTAAATTTTGCTTATATTGGTTTAAGGAGCTTCCTTGAAAGGTAAATGCATAGACACAATACTACACTATGAAACTGACAAAGATCGGGTAACTCTAAAATAATACCGGACATGCTTCAAGAAACTTTAAACAAATCTAGGAGTTTTTGGCCCTAGAAAGTTCACCTAGTCTATGCGTGTTTTCAGTGTTCAAAACAGAAGCATGAAGATGAGGCCTAGGAGCATTTTTAAATATAATATCAATCATCCCGCAACATATTGTCAGGGTAGGAAGACGCACTGTGTTTCGAGAGGGATCGAAAAATGTTTAGATGCAAAAATTATTTGTTTAAGGAAATATTGTTTTAATTCAATAAATTATAATTATTATTAGGCTCGGTAAAGCTGATTGATTTTACCGTATTCGATGAAAGGAAAAGACAGATGGTAAGGAAATTGAAATCAATCAAGTTTGTGGGATGTAATGAGACAAGAGATGGCGAATTCATCAAATAGTCGAGATGAGACATCGAATATATCAAAATAAGAATGTGGGAAGCGTATAAGTAACTGAGATCGCATCGCGCTTTGCAATTCACGATGGTTGGAAGTTGTGTGCTATTTGAATTGCTGAAATATCACAGTAAATATTGATAGTGGTGAGAAAGAGGCTGGAAAAAGATTTGGATTTGTAAAGGAAATGTTGGAAAAAGCGCTAAAAACACAAACGATGTTAACAGGCTGGTCAACATTGCACCGCTGTTCCTTCAAGATTGAAATTGTTGCATTACTAAGTTCGCATTTATCGCTTTTTATATATCCGTTTTTATGAAAATTTATGGAACACGAGGACTGAAAAGTGAAGAAAGTTCGTTATTACTGAAAGTAGTATGCCTAAAGTATTTTCACATCACCAAAACTCTAACATTCATTGCAACATAGAATCCAGTTCGTAATCTAAGAATTGGTTTTTGATTATGACAATTCCAGGTTAATACGTTGATTACGATTCAATGAAATGAATTGCTCGTCTCCGAGATTATGCAAAAGTTTGTTCGATTTCAATCTTTAAAGAAGGATTTCATAAAGGATTTCAACCTTTTAGAAACTGAAACTGAGACAAGGAAATAACTGATCTCAGTTTCAGTTTCCAAAAAATTTCATTGAAATGATTCTTACAAACAATAAAAATGACTTAAGAACCTTGAGGCATATCCCGACCGAAGTAATGAAAAACACTTCTAGCTCGGATTTATGATGAAATTTTATTTCTTCTCATCTGCAATTTGGAAATGCATCATATTGAATTTGTTCTAATATTATGCACAAAAGAAATCTAAAGAAGTAATAAACTTAGGTTTAGAACATCCAACGGAAGTTCTCTCAGCGTTTGAAGAAGGAAATTTGGGATAGTCGCACATAATAGCTTTGATGATAGAATGAACAAATGA